GACAGTGTAGGAGAGGAAGATTCCAGATGAGATGGATTGATACAGTAACTGAGATAACGGGAGTAGTTGTGTCAGAGTAGTGAGACTGGCTCATCATAAGGCAGACTTCAGAGCCGTTGTACATAGAGTCACTATGAGTTGCAGGTGACTGTGTATGTGTGTGTGTGTAATGAAACTAGAAATATGTGGACATAGATCACAGATAGATAGATCATAGGATTAAGTGTCATGTTAGTTTTTCCATTATGTATTTGCCTAATTTTCACAGAGATGAAATATTCAGGTTGTGAGCTACAATAAAACCTCTAGTCATGATATATATCATTATGCCTGTTTATATTGTTAAACTGTGAAAAGCATAACCAGAAGTTTTAAAATGAATGTGGGATTAAAAGTATTGTTGTGTTGTTGCGGTTGTTATGTGCCATCAAGTTGCTTGTGACACGTAGCTACCCCATCTACAAGATCCCTAAACACCGTTCTATCCTGTGCCAACCTTGACGTCTCAAAAACACTTATTCCCATCACTCCACTCATAGAATCGATCCATCTCATAAAGGGTCTTCCTCTCCTGCACCGTCCCTTCACTCTCCAAAACATGATGTCCCACTCTCGCTCTCCAAGGACCAGTCCCTCCTTTCAGCATACCCAGAGTATGTCAGGCGAAGCTTCAGAATCCTTTACTCCAACGAGCATTTTGACCCCACCCTCTCCAGGACAAACCTGTTTGTTCTACTAGCAGTCCATGGTATATTCAACACTCTTCTTCACACCACAGCTCAAAGACATCAGTTCTATTTCTATCATCCTTAGTCACTGTCCATCTCTTTGTGTGTGTGTGTGTGTGTGTGTGTGTGTGTGTGTGTGTGTGTGTGTGTGTGTGCTTGTACCGTCAAATCATATCTGACTGGTACAGGAGAAGATTGTCCCTCCTTCCTCGGCAGATCATCTGGTGGATTCAAACTGTGCGCCTCTGGGATTGTAGTTTAGCTCCTTGCCACTAGGCCACCAGAGCTCCCACTGTCCAACTCTTAAAGCCCAGATCAGGCACACCTTAGTCTCCAGCCTGACGTCCTTGCTCTTCAGTACTCTTAAGAGGTCCCTCACCGCTGACTTTCCCAATGCAATTTGTCT